GGGGTGGCTTCCCCCTGGGGCAGCGCGGGCCAGAGGCGGCGAGCGCCGCGCTTCGGGCACGGCTGTGCCTGCCCAAAGTTCCCGTTTTCTCGGGGCTGCACGTCTTATGATCCATTGTGTCATCGCGCTCCGCTGGAGCGAGGGGAAGGCAAACCCCTCGCAGCCAAATTTGGCACTGCCCGGGGGAGACATGTCAGCGCCGGCGAGCTGCGGCGCCTGCTGAGCGACCCGCGGCGGGGGGGCGGGGAGGGTGCGGACTGCGCTGAGCCCGTGACCATGCCGACTGGCCGCGCAGCATGGCCAATGGGACGGGGGCGCTCATGCTGAAGTGCGTGGTGGTGGGAGACGGGGCCGTGGGCAAGACGTGCTTGCTGATGAGCTACGCCAACGACGCCTTCCCCGAGGAGTATGTGCCCACCGTGTTTGACCACTATGCAGGTAAGCGGGCGGGCGGGCTCAGAAGTGCTGAGTAAGAGGCTCCTCCCCTGCCCCCGGAGAACTTTAGAGCAACTTTGCCATTTTCCCAGCTGGAGCCTCTCTCCTCCTGCCGTGACCTTCTTCACAAAGTCTGGGTGTTGTACCCCGGCCGCTCCGGCCTCCCGCTCCCAGCCGGGAAGGAGCCTCCCGAGGACAGGACATAGGAAGGATCCTGCCCAGTGTGTGAAACTGCCTGGGGGAGGGGTAGTGCCGCCTATAGAAATGTCTGGACTAGATGGGTTTTTTTTAATGCAAGTGCCCGGAATGGTAGAAACGGGACTTCCAGTGGTGGCGGGTGTCTGGCGAGGGCGACATAACTATGAAACCCATTCTTTCCAAATCGCCAAGTGCACTGCAGATGTGTTCTTGGCTAGCTTTTTAGACCTGCTTTTTTTTAATCTGCTTGTGTAATTGAAAACATTCCTCTGAGCCTGTATGCCCTTTCGCTACAGTATTAGCCATGCCTGTATTTTTTTTTCCTTTTACAGTCACTGTTACAGTTGGGGGAAAGCAGTATCTGTTGGGGCTCTATGACACAGCAGGACAGGTGAGCACTTTCAGACTCAGCCAGAACTCGAATCCAGCACCTGCAGGTTTTTATGATTCCAGCCGAAAGCATTTTCCTGTGTAATGGAGGGGTGTTTGCATCTGTTGGGCTGTCTCACTTTAGTACATACGCAACCATGAAAATAACCAAGCCTGGAAGACAATTCAGGCTGGACTCATTGGGGGGTGAGGGAGGGAAATCCGCCCCTGATTCAGTCTAATTCAGGATATTTGTTTATGTCGAACTGCCTCACTATGCTTTAGGGCCGTGGTCCCCAACACGGTGCCCGCGGGGGCATTTGCATGCGCCCGCCAGGTGCTCGGGGATGGCCTGGCCCCGGGCACATGGCGCGGCGCTTGCAGGGAGCGTTGGCCCCGGGCGCGCGGCGCTTGCAAGGGGGCGGGGAAAGCCCCGGCCCCGGGCGCACGGCGCTTGCGGGGTGCTTGTGGGGGGGCTCCCCGCCCCCGGGCAAGGGGCTTTGGGGGGGCCGCCCCCCGGCGCGCAAGTG